TGGTAGCAATTTGACAGTTCTTAAAGTGCGTACATAAATTTAAATGTCAGTGGAATTATTGCATGTTTGGCAAGGAAATGTTTTCTTTCCAAAAACTCGTTATGCATTGTGATGTCATTTAAGTCACATGTGCACATGACCAAACAAAGTCGAAAATCTTGACATACAGGAACGATAACGTTTTAAAAAAAAATTACATTATGATTTTAAATGAACTTTGCAAAGTTCAATCATAAAAAAATTCTTCCTCAGGCACTTTCGTGCTACAGATTGATATGATATCGCAGTAATTTCGGCGAATGACATAGCTATCACAGCAAGCTCGGTCAAATTTTATAAAAATGTTTCATTCCTAATGATTCAGTATATAATTTATATTATCCGCCATTTTGGCCGTCAAAGTTCGGGCAAAAATAGGCAATGTTTAACTCGGACGAATGGCAAAATCGCAACCCCGGTTTCCACGTGATTGAAATCTTGAAACAATTAAAACACAATAAAAATATAAAGCGGGTACTCGATTAAACGGGCCAAAAATAAGCCAAAAATAATAGCTAATAAATACACGTTTCTATTTTGCTCTACATGCAATAAAACTGAAATATAATATTACCTTTGTCAAATTTACGTTGTCCATTCCTTTCAAAATCGTAATTTTTTTGCGATGTTTAAGAGACTTCTTTAATTCCACATTCAAAATATTTATGATCTCATTATTACGACATATTAATGGTTCCTTCTCTAAGTTCTCTTTTCGTATATCAACGTTATATTTCATTAATGTTTGAACTACGGCGGTATGACCTTTCAAGCATGCTATACGTAAGGGAGATTTCAATTTCCAGTTATTCACGTCTTTAATTGCTCCATGTTGGAGAAGGTATTCAACAATTAACGTATTTCCACCTTTACAAGCCAAAAATAGAATTCTGGACATGTCAAGATTTTCTTGATTTGTTAGCTCAGCTCCATGTTCAACTAAGTATTTAAACATTTCCAATGAACCAAACTTAACAGCATTGTGAATCACAGGTTTATTCAGCCAGTTTTTACAGTTTATATCAGCATCATGTTCAACTAAATATTTGACCATTTCCAGTGAACCAGGTGATGCTGCAGAGTGAAGAGGACGACCAACGTAACGATTTTCACAACTGACATCAGCACCATGATCAACTAAATATTTGACAATTTTCAGTGAACCAGATGATGCTGCAGAGTGAAGAGGACTACCAATGTCAGAGTCAGAGGATTCAAAATTAACATCAGCACCATGATCAACTAAATATTTGACAATTTCCAGGGAACCAGATGATACTGCAGAGTGAAGAGGACTACCATAGTAAATGAAATCAAAATTTACTTCAGCACCATGTTCAACTAAATATTGGACATTTTCCAGTGAACCAGATGATGCTTCAGAGTGAAGAGGACGACCAACGCGATGATTTTCAAAATTTACATCAGCACCATGTTGAACTAAATATTTGACAATTTCCAGGGAACCAGATGATGCTGCAAAGTGAAGAGGACTGGCATGGTAATAATTTTCACTATTCACATCAGCACCATGATCAACTAACCGTTTTACTTCATGAAAATTTCCTTCTTTCACAGCGATCAGAAGTTTCGACATATTTATATACCTATAAAAGCAGAGGTAGGCCAATTATGCAATGAATATAATGGACATAAAGTTTTTTATTTATAGACTATTACGACACCAAAAACACTGGTATTATAATCGGTATATTGCTATTATAGCAAATTGTGAATCACGTTTAACATTTTAATTTCTGATACTATTATGCTTCAAAGTTATACTTCGGAATATTGTTTGGAATTTCGCTATTACTCGATGGCATGGTTGATATCGTTAGAAAATTCTAATTGTCTTAATCAGCCAGGTGTATAGAAATCAATGGTCGTCACGGACTATTAATGTCCTATATTCACATTTTTTCAAATTACAGGTAATTGTTATTTTATGTTATTGGTAATCAATATTTTACTATTTATATTATTCTTAAAAATACAGTAACCAAGCGAATAACAAATAATGAAATAATACTGTAAAACATGCTTACTATCTCGTCCTTAAACTAAGATATTTATACGAACAACAATGCCTAAACTATACTAATTAATTACAAAGAAATGAGGCAAATACTTTAATTACATTTAGTTTTCTGATAATATCTGCTCGTTTTTTTTCATTTCAAATTATAACGGCAACATCTAAATATTTCATTAACAATCTCAGCATATTGGGGGAGGGGGTACGGGGAGCTTATTAACTGAAGATTTGGAAATGATTGTAGAATTTTGTAGAATCGAAATATGTTTACTTCCCACTTCTGCTGAATTTTTGCAGAACAGACTAGTAATGATAATTATGCCTAATGAGCACTTGTATATATTGTATTTTCTTGCCTTACTGTGATGGAATTATAATTTTATACCTTTGCTTAAAATGTGCGGGAAATCGTGTATCATATATAGGCTCAAGAATAAAATATTTCTGGATGGTTCATGCCCTAAGACCTTCCTTGGACAGCCCCTCTTGTAATAATTTTAGGACTACACCAATGTATTGTTATTACTCCTTAAATTATATATCTATCGTATTTGAACATTATTTTTCAAAATCTTTGAAAGGATTTCAGGACAGTGACAGGCAACAGCTTTCAAAGCATATTCCAGCGCTTGCTCTTTGCTTGCTGTTGACTATCTTGTCCTCCCCGCGTAGACTATTGTCAGTTAGTATTCCAATATTCAGTTTAACGCCATTCAGTACTTTTCCATTTCTGAAGAAAGGGAAATAAATAGTTGTGATTGAAACGTAGGCGTTCCAAAAATATACATGCATTCCCTCTTTTTTTACCTAAAACTTGTTTTCGTGGTTACAGGTCGGTAAAAATTGATCGCTTTTTTTTTCATAAAACACAAACACTTGCATGCTTAGGATTCACCAATTATGTTATAATGAAATCTTGATTTTAATTTCCAACGTTCGGTATCGTTGAGTAGTTTTTTGTGAGTGGAATTAGATTTAATAGACCTTATGCATAATGACGTCACAAGGCTTGACGCCCGCGAGGAATGCTGGTCTTAGTAGTCATCGCCCGGGAAAATTAAACATTAAAAATGGCCACTATCTAAATTTTCCCGCGCGATGACTACTAAGACCAGCATTCCTCGCGGGCATCAAGTCTTGTGACGTCATTATGCATAAGGTCTATTAGATTATGAGTTCGTTCTTTAAATGTGCTTGGCCTTGTATACTAGGCCCTTTGTCATACATTGTTCCTAAAATGGGCATATATTTTTATTCCTACAGTTGCAACTGTTTGTGTCCTTGCTTCTATGTTTTTCCTAATAGACCTTTGCGATAATTACGTCATAACTACCGGGTGTCCCAAAAAAAACTTGCGGTGTTTGATTTTATGTAAGGTAAAAACTATAAAAGCTATTACACTCAAATAAGTTTTATTGTATTGAGGAAAGGCTAGCTTAGATTTTGATATACAGCCCTAAAAATTTCATGTAATAGTACGTGAGATACAAACGTTTGAATGTGGCGCACGCTTTAAAAATGAGTAAAAAAATCGAGAAACATGGCTGATCAAATTTATATGAAAACAAATTGCCATTTTCCACAAAAATTAACAATTTCAGCATTTCAGCTCAACTTTAATTTCGGGTAATGTCCTAGTATAAGTTAACCTTTCGTGTTTCTTGGGAAGCGAAATAAGCATGAAACATTTAAAAACGTTCGAAAGCATATTTGACGTCCTTTGAGAGTTCTTATTATAAAGTTGCCACTCGTTCGCCTTTCGAATATGCTTCGATTAACAAAAGATCAAAGAGTTTGGCTTTTATGTTTTCCCGTGCAAGACATTGTATACGTGCAAGGGGACATACTTTCTATGATAAATGAATAAATGTTTATCCAACAATTATGTTTTTCATTCGTTCTTTTGGCCACAATAAAACTATATAATTGTCAAATATGCTTATTCGATTTAAAACATCGATAGCTCAGTAAATATTGCACGGATATTCAAATGTTATATATCAAAATCTAAGTTAGCCCTTTCTGAATACAATATAACTTATTTGAGTGCAATAGCTTTTATAGTTTTTATGTCACATTAAATCAAACAGCGCAAGGTTTTTTGGGACACCCGGTACTTTTCGAAAGTGGTGCGTTATTCGCATGAATTGAAATTGAGAACTGTTTTTAAGCAATTTAGCTCAAATTTGAATAAGAAATTTCTTTCAGCTTTATGAAAATAAGTGAAAAAGAAAACCTTCGTAAATAAATTGAGTCGTGTTGTTTTACAATACATTTTAGTCTTTAGCGTCATGCATGCAGTGAATAAAATTATCTAACAATATTGGCTACAAGTAATCAAGTATCAGTACAGCAAAGGCTCAGAAGTATTAAGTGCCTTTTTTAAATGGCTGCCCCCCCCCCCTCCCGTTTCACGTTGCTTCCAGCGCCCCTGACATTGAAGGTGTAGACATGGACATGTTTATTACAATACAGTTTGGGTTTCCATGGAGAAAGTCGAAAATACAGGTTTGCAAAGAAAAGTTCTTATTCCAAGCCAACCTCGTTCCCAGGCTCTTACCTCTTGTGGAGGAAAGACCCTGGTAGGAGCTGGTGACGTAATCTGCTAAAATCTAGCAGATTTCTAATTAACTATCTTGGATCCCTTTAAAATCAAATCAAACTTGCAAAACAAAATGCAAGTTATAAATTAAAGTATAAATATCAAATATTTATCAACATCATCATCATCAATTAAAAATCTGCTAGATTTTAGAATTCCATTTTGTGGAGGTAAGAGCCTGTGAACGAGGTTGATTCCAAGCATCTAAAATGGGTATTTTTGTGACCTAGGCGGTGTTGGTAACCACCGGATGGGAAATACCAGTAAGGATACGTCCAGGGTAAGGTTTATAGCTTAGTGACAAGAATTTGATTTCTTACACTGAGAATAAGCCAGGTCCACGCAGTAGTAAGAGCCTTGTTAGTATACACGCAAGCAGGGACGAAATCTCAATCTCCAAGCAAAGTACAAATCATCTGGATTGGCAGGGCAAATCATCTGGATTGGCAGGGCAATGAAAGATTTTAAATGATAGAATGTAGAGTTATTAAGTAGCTTCCAGGGCTTCCAGAGGGAATTGAATAGAATTTATAGACATAAATTTTACAGATATTGGTAAAAAA